CAGACAGAATGTTGTACACATAATAAATAAATATTTAAAAAAAAAAAAAGGAAAGCGGTTTCTTCCTTCCTCTTTCTTGAACTGCTCCTTGTCCCAGAAGGAGCTGCCTTCTTCATAAACGTTTTAGACATTTCTCTTATGTAGGAATAAAAGTTTGTCAACTAGCAAGGTCACCAATGAACTTGTCAAAGATCTGATTAATTTTTCCCATTTCTTCCCAAATGTCTTTTGTTAACAGGATTCTATCTTGGACATTAAAGTACCAATATTTAAAGGACCTGGAGAGATGCCCGAAATCCGATCTTACATGGAAGAGTTCCCATTTCCATTTTACATCATTCTTCGAGATGTGAATGTTCTTCCTGAGACCCTCAGTGATGCCCTGAGGCAGTGGTTTGAGCTGGTGACAGCATCTGACCACTCATAGAGCAGAAACAGTTTGTAGTGAGCTCGTGATCACAGCATCTTCCCCCAGCACTCCCTTTGGACAACTGTTTGTGAACTCCGTGCTCTGATACTACTTCACCTTGGATCTGATTTTTTTTTTAAAATGTATCCAGCAGTTATTTTAAAAACAAAAAACAAAAAAAAAAACATTGCACTATACGTTTGTATTTACAACGTAGCAGAGCTTAGCAGAGCTCTCGACCTCCTGAGCACAGAAGGCTCTCAAGTGGTGCCAGAGCTCATGACTAGGAACCAGCTAGAGGTCACACTACCCCAGTCCAGCTACCTGTTTTCCTCTGGCAGTGACCTCTACCCCCTTCTTGAGGAAATGCTTCCAGGGGCATGGGACTGCATTCTCTGCAGGTCTTTTGGGGGAAGTCCCTGCCTTAAGCTTACAGGTGGAACCACTTGATTGGCCCTTCTTATCCTGCATATAAAGCAGGAAACATAGCAGGGATGTTCTCAGCAAAGATGATCATAGAACTGTACAAAGATTGCAGCAGCTGTTTGTGCCCTCCACAGCGGCTGCGCGGGAGACTATGCAATAATGGGAAGGCGACTGCCATAGCCCCTTGCTGTAATTTATTTCTTTAGCCACCCTTCCCCAGTGTCCCCAGTGTTAAGAGGAAGAACTATCCCTATACTGCTTTCAAGCTACCCTGAGCCAGTCAGTCTCTGTGGAGAGGAGTAAAAGAACGCCGTATCCACAAGAGCCAAACAGCTCTGTCTTTGCCTCACTCACACAGAACACAGTCGTGTTGGGTTTTGTTTGTTGGGATGTGGGGGCGGTTTTCCTTGGCCAGAGAGCAGTGTTTGAATACTTGAAATCATGTTCTGTGTTGTATTTAACTGTTTCTAGGTGTTGTGCTGTGCGTCCGTCTCCATGTCTTTGTACAGCTCACACTGCAGTGTGCTCACCCTTATGTGCTGGTCATCACAGGCAGATGCTCACTGCTTAGCCAAGTGTCCTGAAGCATGTACTTAAAGTTAGGTTATTTTTTACTCAAACGCTATGCAGCTTATATTCTAAAAACTATTAAATAATTGTTGAGTTAATCTTTGGTCTTTTTTTTTAACTTTTATTGGTTCTTTGAGGATTTCACATTATGCATTCCAAATCCCAATCTCACCATCTCCCTGCCCCTCCCCGTTCTTCCCGCCGTCTTTGCAACCCCCCTCCAAAATAATAATAATAATTTAAAAAAAAAAAACAGGAGGAGACTTGTCACAGAAACTGTGATGTGACCCAATGAGTCACAGTTCGCCTGGAGCCATTCATGAGTCATCTGGTTTAGGCACCAGATCAATGGTTTCTGCTCTACCATCCATAGGCAGCTCACTGGGGCTCCTCCTGGATATCCTGTTGTCCTGTGCTGTGGAGATCCTTCTGTTTTGGATCTGTAGGTTCATCCCCTTCACATGTTTATAGATGAGGTGGATGTCAACCAACTCACAGCTCTGGTTCTTGGCCTGGGTGTCACTGGCTTGGTTAGCCTGTCAGCTCTCCTCCGTTGTCAGCATCAGAACGAACTCCAGCGCTGCCTTGGCCAGCCCACCCAGTGCAGCCTGCAGTGAGAAGTGGGTCAGGTCTGGCTTGCCCACACTCACACCAACCAGGCACAGTGCAGTGTCCTCTCTTCAACTGCTGTAAAAGGCATAGGAGGTGGGTGGGTTCACCTGCCCCATCGCCAACAGGATCCCCTCTGGTGTACTGCCCAGTTTCCCACGTGCTGCAGCCAGTGAGGGAAAGGGCTAATTCTCCAACTCTCGTCGTCACGGGGCCAGTTCTTTTGCCTCCTATAGGTAGCAATGTATTGAAATTTCCCTCACCCATGCTAACACATGGCAGATGGGGGGGTATCGGCTCTCCTGACAACAGGGTCAGCTCTAATGTGCTGCCCAGGGAAGGTGCATGTCCATGGTGAAGGGTAAGGGGAGATTTCCTGCTACAGTATCCAGCAAGGGGCAGGGCCGGATACTCTGATCATTCTTAACGGACTATGAGAAATAGGACAGCAGTTTAAAGAATTGATCCTCTCTGCCAATCAGACCACAGACTTCTAGTCATACGGTAGTGGTTAGGCCTCGCTGTTCCGTGGTCCATAAGCTGCTGCGTGCAGGCTTTGCAGCAGAGGGAAAAGGTAAGTTGGCGGAAACACATGTGATATAAAGATTCAGTTTTATGATGTAACTCTTCACTGCGGTTGCATTGACCACAGTTCTGATCAACATGTGTAGCTAAGGACAAATCATGCCTACGTGGAATGGTTTCTTTGCCCATAGGGTGGCTCCCTGGGTTTGGGACAGAATCCTGATGAACAGGTGCCATTTCCACTTGGGTTGGCATGGTAAAGGAAATGATGAGCTTTTAGTCTCCCTCCTATCCCCAGCTACCTGGTCTGGCCGGGAAGGGAAGTTCTGATATTTCAGGGGTCAAGTGGCACAATCTGCACCTTGTCATCATCTAATCCGGGTAACTTTCCCGTCCCCGCAGCCTGGAAAGGGGGTGCTGTACCACGGCACCTTGAATCTTGGCCCTTGAGAGGCAGAGGCAGGTAGGTCTGAGTTCCAGGATTACTTAGTATCAAAAGCCAGTAAAACTATTGAAGTACAGCAGGCTGATCGTTGGTGTTCTTGAGTAGTTAGATCACCGTGGCAAGACGTCATTGTGTAATTTCAATCTGTGATATGTACGTGTATGAGGTTAATCAGTTTAATTGAAGAGACCACCAAGTGTTATCATCCCTTGCTGACAGGTCTGACTCTATTCAGATATCTGCTGGAGCTACGCTTGGGTAACAGGCTTTAAATATCCTACTATATTCAAATCTAGTGTATTTGAAATATTCTATAGTCAATATACTATACTATAGTCAAATACACTGTATTCAACTGGTATATTCACACATTGTTCTTTTTATGTCGTTTTGTTTTATTTCCAAGACAGGGTTTCTCTGTATAACAGTCCCGGAATTCCCTGAGCTTGCCCCAGAATCAGGTCACAAAACTCCATCAACTGTAAACATCCCTGAGTGTCTCCCCTCCAAGAAGTCCTATATAACCTCTGTGTTGTTTAGTTTGTTGTTTCTCATCATAGAGGCAGCTGCCGTTCTGGTTATTTTCCTCCCCGTAAATCTCTTAAGTGAGGCTTGCGCGGTGTGACCCTTGCACCCGAGCAGAGGCCATCTGGAACACCGTTCGAGGGAGCCAGGGTGGAGCTGCAGCACTTTAATGGCGAAACTTTCCCCCTAGCAGAGCAGAGCCCTCTGGAAACCTTCCCCACCCCCAGCAGAGCTGCAAAGCTTACAGTGACTTTGTCGAATCCTTGGCCCCCGACTGCCAGGATACTTTTCCATCCAAGCTCCAAAACTCACAGCCCCCCCTACCACTCCCCCTCAAAGCGAAATGAAATTTACTCGTACTACTAGTCCAAGATTAAAACAAGCCTGATAGTGGAAGGGAGGGGAGAAGAGAAAAATGTAGAGCTCAATAAAAGTCAATAATAAAAAAAAAGCCTGGACAGATTCAGACCCTAAAAGACTCTGTGGTCAAAAAGATTACCACCATGGCCAAGGAAAGTTATTAATTATTATTACTATTGTTATTATTATTTTGGTTTTTCGAGACAGGGTTTCTCTGTAGCTTTAGAGCCTGTCCTGGACCTCACTCTGTAGATGAGGCTGGCCTCGAACTCACAGAGATCCACCTGTCTCTGCCTCCTGAGTGCCGGGATTAAAGGTGTGGGCCACCATCGCCTGGTATGTTATAAATTATTTAATAAATGACCTTGAATTTTTAGTCTAGGGGCGGGAAAAGAACTTAGATCCATATCATGCCATTAATAAAAATAACTTGTAGACGAAGTAAATATATTTAAAGAAAGCTGGTCAGTGCGATACAGTTTTACAACAGCTGGGAGAAGATGAAACTGGAAAGTCTCGAAAGAAACAAGCATGCTAATGTAGAGTTAAAGCGGTTATAATTGTATAAAGAAAATTTCCAAGGGCCGCCGAAACGGCTCGGACAGTAAAGGTGCTTGTCACCAACGCTGATGCCTCAAGTGTGAGCCTCAAGCTCCCACAATAGAGAAAATCTGACAAAGCACATAGGGTTGAGCATCACTCATGATGCCTGTGAAGCCAACACTGAGAATTAGAGTCCTGCATCTGGAGCTATTCTGCGCAGTTACATACGGGACACTGCGAGGTGTGTGGTGTGGGGGAACAAAACAAAAAGCCAGAGGCTCCATGAGTAGGAAAAGTGCATGGAGCCACAATGATCGCTGTGGCTACAGGCTGAGGATAAAGCTCAGAGAAAAAGAAAAGCTTTCAAGATGCCAAGTAGAAACAGTTAGTTTAAACGCCGGTCTTTTCCGTTATACACATCAAGGGTGCTCAAAGAGCTCACAATTTCTCCCCTCAGGTAAAACGCTTAAGCTCCTAGGTGACAAGTTCCTTGAGGCTTTGACTCCAGCAGAAACACAAGCCTCAAGCGTCCGTCTCCTAGAAACCGGGCTCACCCGCCTCCTACTTCCGCTTCCGTGTTCCCGTCAGCCCCAGGCTCCACTTCCGAGCTTGCGCAGCAGGCGGGTGCCATGGCGTCCTCCCGCTTGCCTCCCGGGGCGCTGACTCTGAAGCAGGTAACCCGGGTTCCCCCAGCTCCCAGGCTCCCGGCGCCCGCCTGGAGCAGTGTCGCCTGTGGTCTTTTGAGGCACTGTCCCTGAGACCTGGCTCCCACAGCCACCGCCTCCTCGGCGCGCAGCTTCCCGAGGGCGGGTTGGTGTGCATTGCCCAAGCAAACCGCCGGGATGAGCTTTGGTTTTTTATCTTGTTTCGTTTAAAGGAACTTTTCTGGTCCCAAGTTGTTTGCTGAGATGGAGCGGGCGGGTATTTAGTTGTAATTTGCTTTTCTCCTTCCCCGGGCAGTTCATGAGAAGGCAGCAAGTCCTCCTCCTCTACAGAAAGATCTTCCGAGCGATTAGGCAAGTTCCCAGCGAGGCTGACCGAAAGTACCTTCAGGACTGGGCCAGGGAAGAATTCAAAAGGAACAAAAGCGCCACAGAAGAGGTGAGAGCAAGGCCATACCGAGGCCACGGCTCCTTTGCCCTGTTGTGTTGTTGAACTTGTCAAGGTTAGCGGACATCTTGGGATATGCCAATAAGGTGGTCTGTTTTGCTCACCGCCGATTGTTGTACAGCAGCAGCAACTGGCTTGCGCTTCCCACTATTGGTTTCTTGCTGGGGGTTCTTTTGTGTTGGGATTGAATGTAGAGCCTTGGGCATGGTAAACCCTCAGCTACAACCTGCAACCAGCCACTCTTGCTGCTTGAATGTAGCAGATAGGAGAATAGAACTGTGCCATGGTTAACCTGGTAAAAACCATGACCAGGTTTCCCCTTTCTTCTCCAGGATACCATCCGAATGATGATTACTCAAGGCAATATGCAACTAAAGGAATTAGAAAGGACACTCGCTTTAGCAAAGTCTTAACCGAAGGTTTTCAGATCCCATGCATTTTGCACGAGCTCAAAGCCACTGTCACAAAGGACCTACGGTATCATAGGACAAGATGATTATGTCAATCGAGCATGCAAGTCAAAGCACTGACATTTCCACTGCAGTGGCTGCAATTCACAAGTGAACTAGCGTGAAGATGGGCACTTGGAACTGTACACTCGGATGAAGGCAAAACAGCAGCAGCCACTCTGGGAAACAGACTGTTAGTTCTTGAAAAGGTAGCCAGGTAGCTAGAGGGTTTGGTGAGATGGCGCCACGGATAAGGTTTTTGCTGCCAGGAACATGAGTTTGACCCCTGGACCTGTGTGGTGGAAGGAGAGAACCAATTCAGAAAGTTGTCTATCACATGGTCTTTGTGGCACAGAAACAAAACAAAACAGAGAGAAAAAATGTGATTAAAAATAAATAAATAGGGGGCTGGAGAGATGGCTCAGTGGTTAAGAGCATTGCCTGCTCTTCCAAAGGTCCTGAGTTCAATTCCCGGCAACCACATGGTGGCTCAAAACCATCTGTAATGAGGTCTGGTGCCCTCTTCTGGCCTGCAGGCATACACACAGGCAGAATATTGTATGCATAATAAATAAATAAAATATTTAAAATAAATAAATAAAAGGTGACACAGAGTTACCTCGTATATTAGCAAGTCTAGGCTTTAATCAAGAGAACTGAAGCCATGCCTATAAAAAGTGTATACAGAATTCAACCTTTTTTTTTTTTTTCTTTTGGTTTTTGACACAGGTTTTCTCTTTGTAGACCAGGCTGGCCTCAAACCCAGAGATCCTCCTACCTCTGCCTCTTGAGTGCTCAGATTAAAGGTGTGCGCCACCACGTTATGAGTTCCAGCATTCTCCATGCTAACCAGATACTGGATTCAGAATATCCGTGAACAGATGCTTGGATATTTAAAATGTAGTGCAGTGTACGGTAAAATGTTATTTTGCAATAAAACGAGTGAAGAACTGCTCCATGCTCCCCGTGGGTGACCTTGGTAACATTGTTAAGTTAGCGGAGCCAGGTGTAACAGAGCCTCTGCTTAGACTAGGACAGAGCGTTCCCAGTGGATGGCTTTACAACTCTGAATATTCTAAGACTACTAACTTTGAGTGAGAATGTGGTTAGGTCCACAGACACCCTTGGTATAATAAAACGGGTATGCGGTGTAATTCTCAAGAGTCGATTTCTCCATCTGCTGCAGGAAACGTTCTAATGAATATGTTTACGATAAACACAATATGTCAGGGTTTTTCTGTGTAGCTTTGGCTGTCGTGGAACTAGCTCTGTAGACCAGGCTGGCCTCGAACTCACAGAGATCCATCTGCCTCTGCCTCCTAAGTGCTGGGAGTAAAGGCGTGCACCACGACTGCTGGGCAGTGTGTCTAAACGTTACATCAGTTAGAACCAGATCTGCAGGTCTCATGCTTGAAGGTAAGGGTTACAGTTCAGGGAAGATACGTGTTTTTGTTAGAAACAGGAGAGCTTTGTGTGTTTTCAGTGAACAGTTTAATGCTCTGTGCAGCATGTGAGGGTTTTGCTGTATCATCTTTAGACTAAGGGTCTGGTGTGACCTCCCTACCTCAGCTGCAAAGACAAAACCAAAATAGAAATTGGACTGTCAGGGCACTGTACTGACTCTAGGAGGTGCTCCACCACAGCGTCTCAACTTGAACAGGGGCCACATACCAGAAGCTTCCATTAGCAAAATTACAGTCATGAAGTAGCAATTAAACAATTTTATGGTTGGGGTCCCCACAACATGTGGAACTGTATCAAGGGTGGTAGCATTAGGAAGGTTGAGAACCACTGCTCTAGAACTTGGAAAGCCTGCTTTGCCCTTCAGGGTTGTGAAATTACTTTGTTCAGGTGTGCTACGGTTTCATGACCAGAGCACTAAGACCTCAGAACACCTGGAGCTTGGTTGGAAATGAAAAAGCTGAGAACATTGAAACAGCAGAAAGAGGAGGGAAGACTGGGCAGTTCTTCAACTCCTGCGCCTAACATCCTCGTGGACACTGAGCCATCAAGGCAGATTCTTGGTATACTGCACTTCAAAAATGGAGAAAGAAAACATCACAAAGTTGTCATGGGGCCCTTGAGATAAAATTCATACACATTGAGTGAACTATGTGGAAGTGGAAGCGTGTTGAGGACTCTGACACTGTCCTGTAAGCAGAAGTCGGTGTCCTGTCAACAATAGGGATTCCAGACTGGGAACCTGACTACTCTCTTGTGCTGGGTGCCTGGAAAGATGGTGCAAAATGTGCTTAACCTATGTGACCTGAACACAGCGCCACCTCCTGGAGCCCTGGGGTCCCATGCACAGTTCTGCATGTGAGTGAGCTAATCCCATGCTTTTCTAAGCCAGTATACAGCCTGTGCAGACATAGCTAGCAACCATTTGTGAGCAATTTAGGTTTTTGTTTTTGAAACCAGGTCTTCTGTTTTAATCCTCCATCCTCCACCTACCATCTGCCAGGATTGCAGATGTGAGCCACATTGCTCTCTGTAAACAGTCTTGAAGACCTCGTGTGGTTGGTTGACATTCAAATTCAAATACAGACTCTGAGGAGGTCTAATATCTTGGAACTAAACAGCAGTCATGAGATGTGGATGCTGATGATGGTCCAAAGTGGCGTACAGGGAACTCTTTAAAAGCGTATTCAGCTGCGAATCATCCTAAGGCAAGCTGGGGTTTGATTTTGTTTCTCTGAACTTACTATGTAGCTCTGGCTGCCTTAGAGTCAGAGATCCACCTGCCTCTGCCGAGTGCCGAGTATGTGCTACCACACCCTGCCTAATTATTTCTAGAGCAGATAAAACACTTTGGATGGAATTGTTTTCAGAGGGAAAGGTTAGTGCAGTACCCGGGTTTCCCTTCATCTCCAAGGGACAGGTCTACTTTGCTCACTCGGGTGCTTTGAATAGCCCCTCTCTGGCGAATAGGCCAAGGCTTGTTTGGCTTTTTCTTGTGTGATTATTTATTTTATGTGCATTGATGTTTTGCCTGCATGTGTGTCTGTGTGAGCGTGTGGATCCCTTAGAGCTATAGTTACAGACAGTTGTGAGCTGCCATGTGGGTGCTAGGAATTGAACCTGGGTCACGAGGAGGGTCTTTCAGCAGTGTTTTCCTTGGGCACAGGACCACATTTCCTTGAGATGTTGGCCAGGTGGAGCTGCTGGTGACGTTTTACTTATCTTGAATCCAGTTTATCTGGACTCAGGATTGTACAGCCTATCGCCCTTTCTGAGCGTCTCCTGTAAGGTTATCTGTTTGAATGTCAGACTCATACTTGTTCCTAGAACTTAAGATGTTTTAACAATTGACTATGCACGTGAACCAACATCAGTCCTGTTGTAAAGGCACACCTCTAATCCAGTACCCTGAGTTCTAGGCCAGCCAGATCTGCATAGTTGAAACCCTGTCTCAAAAGAGAGAGATTAACCAACGGGAGAAAGATTTCACACAGAAGCTTTGTGAAACATGTAAGCAGCTGAAGCCACACAGTTTGCCCTGCATCACCTGTCTCTAAAAGGGGCCGTCGGGTTGCACCTTTCAAACTCAGCACAGCAAGCACTGCCGTGGATGTGCCTGAACATCGGTCCATGGAAACCGAGGAAAGGGGACGTGAGCATCAGGTACACCAGCAGTGCCAGCAGAACTAAGGAAAAGGCCATTCTGAACAGAAGCAGCCTAAATCTGCCTTGGAAAAGGATTATATAGAATCAGGCCCAGATTTAAAAAACAAAAGTCATCCTAATAAATCAGAGATCACAGGATTTAGGATTTTGAGAAATTATATTCGTTTTAGATTTTTAGGGAGTTGGAGAGGTGGCTCAACAGTTAAGAGCATACTAACCTTGAAGAGGACCCGAGTTCGGGTCCCAATACCCACATGGGGTGGCTTTGACTGCCTGTTACTCCAGCTCCAGGGGACCCAGAGCCAAGCAAGTACCTGCACTCATGTTCACGTGCCCACCCCCAACACACAAGATTAAGCCTTTTTGATTACCATTTGCATTTACTGAAAATCAATTTGTTCTTGTATTTTTTAAAAGTGCTATCCTGTCTTGTACCTTGTGGTGTTAATATGCTTGCATTAACAACATTAAAGGATGCAAGACACCTGAAGTTGACGTTAGATGCATTTGCTCTAAGTAAGTAAAATACTGGGTGCAGGCTCTCTTTCAGGAACTCTTGAATGCCGCCAGCAGAACAAATGACTATAAATAAGGAGTAGAGAACCAACAGAACTGAAAACAATGTTTAATGCTTGCAGGAAACACAAGTTCAAGGTGAGAAAAACATTAGACAACATGCCTTTCACCAAAAATAAAATTTTAAAAAAGACATGTGAAAAGCCTGTTTTGGAATCCCCAAGTCAAAAACAATGTGAGGGCTAACACATCTATCACAGATATTTAGTGTACAGTATACTGGATGTGCTAACTCGTTTTTTAAAAAGGACATGAATAATGTACAACTTCACTGTTTTATGACTTTTTCCACAGCTGTTGACACTTTAGGCCTCTGTTTGAAACATGAGCTGCATGAGA